ATTCCTACACTTGCAATAAGGATTTGGAATTTTGAAATGAGCATCATTGAAATGTTTTTCAATTGATCTATTTCACAAAGTAAGGACCATAGACAAACATAGTGTGCATGCTTGGTGCATGGCATAACTATTGTTTAGACAAACATAGTGTGGATGCTTGGAGCATGGCATAACTATTGTTTTAATTAAAGTATTAAGTTGATTATTCGAAACATTATACAATGAATAATGAGTAATTAATATGACTCAAAAGTTTTTGGGCCATATAGGATTAGTATTATTCTTGTGTTTCACTTTGCATGTTTTGACTTCCCGAATAACTAGGTTAGTTAAACCATCCACAGTCAATTATACTTTGGAAGTAGGTATTGAGGCAAGACTGTCATGAATGGGTCTGTAGTTTGTCTAGGAAAAAGTGGTTGAAGTGTTCATGAGTGCTCTTGGAATAAGATTCGAGTATTGGATTCAACCCACACTCATTTGAATCACTTCATGGATTTTATCACGAGTGATCATGAGACGATAATATCTTATATTCTTGAAACGGAGACATGTGATTTGTAGTTGCGAGTCGGTTGCACATTGACATATGTAGACGCACCAGTAACTTGGATGTTATAAAACATATCATTGTGTGTAATTTGATGAGTAAGTACAAGCAAGCATTTGGGTTGAAGTTTATCCGTTCCTTTTACCCCATGTGGATAAAAGCGATATCTGTGGGGCCCTCGATGATTTAGTGATGACATCAGGCCTGGACTGATTTGATTTGTTCAATTAGTTGGTCGTCATAAATCGGAAATCGGGAAGCAACAAATGGACAAAGAGAATGATTATAATCCATGTCTCAGTCCATATGATATCTAGAATGGAGGAATATAGGATCCCTTATCTAATGGACACGTCATTGACTAGGTCAGAGTTCGACAGCGGCTTTTAAGAGCTACGATTGCTAGTCGGGTTGGAGTCATGCTTGCAATAATAGTTATTAGACTTATCCAAGTGGGAGACTATTGGATTAGGTGTCTAAGCCTAAGACTATTATCCGTATGTACTTGACCCGAGAGTAGCATGGTCCATTTGGGTTGCATGGCATCGAAACAATTTGGATAGACTTTTGTGAGAAAGGATATTTATGATTAATTAATATATTATAAGTTCTAATATATTAATATGAAATCATATTATTTAATTAGTATTGATCAAGAATTAGTTTGGAAATAATTTTGTGATCAAAAGAGACTAATTAAATAAGTAGGGATTGATTTGGTAAATCATTCATTCTTATAAAGTGGGCTTATGATCCATAATTCTTCATGTTGGGCTAGAACCATATGGTGACCCATGGATACTCCATGGAGGTTAAAACCCATGGATCATGAGGAATGTGGAAATTAATGAGTTACATGGGGTAACCCTAACATGCACATTATATAAGAAGCCTCATAGTTCATGAAATTGGCACTTAAGATACACAAGTGAGGGCTAGCCGATTTTGCTACAATATAATCTTCTCTCAAGTTATTCCAATTGTTGGTGGTGTTGTGTGATTCCATTTGAGATGCAACACTTGGGGCACTAAGTTCTTAAAGGTCCAAGGCATCCAACTACAACAAAAGGTATGTTTTCTAACTTGTTTTATTACCCAAGTATCAAAGTTTTTATGCTAGTTAGGGTAATACCTTGGAAAGTTCAAGTATTGCAAGTATAATAGAGAAAACATAGATCCAAGGTATTTAGGGTTGCATGTACACCTTAGGAGTGTTAGAATGCTTAAAACCCAATAGTTCCCTAGTATACCACATACTACATCATACATACAATGCATCCACAAAAGAATTCGACTCTAGTGCCAAACAGTCCAATCTCCTATCCACATAAGTATACATAAAAAACATACATGAAGTAACGGGTCTGCTACAGTCGTGGGTGAATGATATGGGCTAATTCACAGTCTTACATATTGTCATGGGCTACCCCCATGGTATTTCGTTGCAATGATATAGGCTACCCCCAATGTCTTTCCATGCAATGTCATGGGCTACCCCATGGTCTTTCCCTGCAATGTCATGGGCTACCCCCATGGTCTTTCCCTGCAATGCCATGTGCTACCCCCATGGTCTTTCCCTTTAATGCCATGGGCTACGTCCATGGTCTTACGAAAAATTTACATGGGTTACCCCTATGGTCTTTCCCTAGAATACACAAAGTCATATGTAGTTAGGGATCGGATAGACAGTCGAACAGATCATCCACCCGTGAGCGCACAATCAGACGAGAACATTACAATCAGGAACATATGTAGTTAGGGATCGGATAAACAGTCGAACAGATGATCCACCCATGAGCGAATAATCAGATGAGAACATTACAATCAGGAATTAGACAAAGAGTTCTTAGGCTATCTAACTTAGACTACATAGAACCCAAGTTATCACTACCATATAACCATATAGAATACATTCATATCATAACTTAACATGGTACATCCCCTTAGCAACTAGCCTTCCGTATTTAGCCTACCCTTGACCATTTCTTAATTAAGTCCTTCGTTGATTAGTCATATATAATCCTGATAGCTGGCCTACCCCAGTTACCCTATCCAAACATAACTCCTATCAGTACCATTCAATCAACAAGAAAGACCCTACCAGTCTAGCATACCAAGACACCAGGTATCCTATATCTGCACATTCATACAAAGGAGTTATCCTGAACAAGTAGCATCCTTGTACTTTAACAGTACTTCTATCATACCATGAAAAGAACATACAATGGGATACGTGAGATAATGAGAAACTCACCTGATTTGTAGAACCATAGAAGCACAACACCCTAACTCTTTACACTAATAAAGCCCTTGAACCAAGTAGCACTAAGACAGACAAATCCTCAATTAGAAACCAACTCCTCGAAGTTTGACCCCGAGTAAAACTGGTCAAAAGTCAATGATCAAAGGCCTACAAGGTCAACATTCAACCCAATCAAAGTTAACGCCACGACGTGACCATTCCTTGGTTACGTCGTGGTATAGCAAGGACCAAAACAGTCACGACTCCAGGCATCGTCATGTTATGGAAAATGCTATGCCATGTCGTGACTTCTGGCAAAAGGCCAAAATCCTTATTAAGTTCTTAATTCCTTCAAACTAAGCTCCATAACTTCAAATTTGTTTCTTTTTACTGACTTAATGGATAAAGTTTCCAACTTTATCCATTAGGACTCCATCTCAAAGCAAGATCTACAACCATAAGTCCTTAATAGCATACAACCCATCCCAAAACATGCATGCTCTCAAGAACAAGATTAAGATGCAAACTTTCCCAATCCAACAAGATTATGAGATGATAAAATAAGCTCAAGAGGTGTTAGAGTTCACTCAACTCCAAAGCATAAGCTCACAAGGACCAAAAAAACGTAAATGTTCAAACTACAAGATCCATAAATCTAAAGATCAAGATATAAACTTTTTAGTCACAATGGTCCAGAAATGAAGTTCCTTTGCTAGATCTACGTTTGAGCTCTTCCCCAAAACTCTTTACAAGAATTTGATCTTCAATCTCCACACCAAAATATAAGAAATGATCCTCCAAATGCTCAAGAACATCAAGAATACTCAAAGGGGCTAGTATTTTCGAAATGGAGAGGTTGGAGACTGATAAGGATGCTCTAATTTGAGGCTAAGATGCTTAAATATGGAGAAAATCCTAAAAAAAACTCATGGGCTTGGGCTGCAGCTACTATCACGTCGTGACACACCATTTGTCACATCGTGACACCTAATTCGGATATGTAGTCTTCATTTTGTAAGCCACGTCATGACACCCTTCATGTCACGTCGTGACATATGAGTTTCCTCAAAAACCATGCCTTTTACTCATGTACATAATCCACTGGTCCATTATGGGAAATAGGTGTTACAATGAAAGTTGATAAGTTGGCTTTACTAGTAAAATCAATTGACTAAACTTTATAGATTGGTGATTGAATAAGTTATTAACAAAATGGTTTTATCTTGACAGACCCATGGCGTGGTCCTTGTCATGTGATAGCACCAATCTTAAGTGAGCTTGCTAAGAAGATGCCCAATCTTACCTTCCTTAAGGTCGATGTTGATGAACTTGAGGTAAATTTGCTCATATCATCTTCTTATCCAAATTGTTATCATCTTATTTAGAATACTATATTTTTAAGATGTAGCATAATATTTTTATATGAGATTATACATAAACAATAAGGAACTTTAATTGTCTAGCAAGTACAATTAGAAGTAGAATAAAGTAAATTTAAAACTTGGTGTAGATAAAAAATAATGCACGTGAGGAAAGCAGATTTATAAAACATAGTAGAAGTTGTACCTTCTTTTTGTTCACAAAATATTTAATAAAATATCCTTCTCTGATTTGAAGATAATTTGCTACTCTAAATAATTTATGATTCACACTTTCACACGAGAAATACAGATTTCTGAAACTTATCGACGTTTTAAAAATAACTCAAGTTTATATAATTTAACTCGTCACACATTAGGGCCTAAGGGTCTTTTTTTGCGGTTCGTCTTGGGCATTTGAATACGAGGGGGAAAGATGATGATAATGTGTTTTGATTAACAAAGTTGAAAGAATATTTTTGTACTTTTAATAAAACATAGCAAATAAAACAAAGGTGAAAGAATATTTTTGTAGTTTTAATAAAACATAAGGAATGACCGATCCCTTCAAACATTAAATTTTATAGATTGTTTAAAATTCATTTTTTATTTATTTATTTTGTCAACAACACACAAGTTTTAATGAGATTTACATTCTAATTTCTCCAAAATTTTGGAGTTCCGTGAACTCGTTAAGTGGCTTTCTTTGATATGACTTTTGTATACTTTTAAATAAGTCTTTTATTGCATACATAACCTCAAATAGAAGTGTGTTTATGATCTTAATTCAAATAGAACATTTAAAAGGGTACAAGACGACTGTTTTGGAATATATTGTGTAATAAAAACTACTAAATAATCCCAAACGACAGAAGCACACTCCCTCTCCTATTAGCCAATGACATCTCCTCACTTGTTCCATAAAGCTTTCCTAATTCTCGGTTTCATTCATATTGGCCAATGGCATCTCCACAGTGCCTCACACGTACTTCCTATCATCATCTTGACCAAACCAACAATCTTTCACCGAAAGTTTTTTCAATCAGTTGCAGCATAATCAATACCAAGAAAAACTCCATAATATCTTCAACCTGTAGGAACCCCAAAAGAACAAGAAGATACGAAGTAATAGCTAAAAACAACAGTAGTAGTACAGAAATTAAACATGAAACATATGAAGGTGTAGAGAAAAAGAAGAAGGAAAGAAGGTTTAGGATTCTGATCGCCGGCGGTGGGATTGGTGGGCTGGTTCTGGCGTTGGCAGCAAAAGAAAGAGGGTTTGAGGTTATGGTGTTTGAGAAGAATTTGAGCGCAATTAGAGGGGAAGGAAGGTATAGGGGACCAATTCAGCTGATGAGCAGTGCGTTGGGTGTGTTGATGGATATTCATAAGGGGGTGGCGGAGCAAGTTATGAATGCAGGGTGTGTCACCGGAGATAGGATGAACGGCCTTGTTGATGGAGTTTCCGGCGACTGGTAAGTGGTAAATTATTTCTCTTACAAATATTAATCATGTATGATATAGTTATATATGTTACAAAGTACGCTTTTATTAATAGTTCATATATAACAAACTTATCTATCAATTTATTTTAAATGCTCGGATTTTATGTACATATGCAGCTACATATATATTTTATATGATTATATATTATTTTATATAATCTAAAGGTAAGAAATTAATGATCTATTAAATCGTGACCACAAAAATTGATAAACGGCCAAAACATGGATTGCATATATTAATTCGTAATAAAATAGAAGTTTGAAAGATTTATACAACATAAGAACACATTCAGTAGAAAGTTTGTACCAAAAATCCTATAAACTCTACCACCAACAAGAATTGTGTGGAACAATATATGCAAAACAAAAAGCCCAATAAAATAAGAGCATTCATGTCTCATAAGGATTTCAATTATATCATATCAGTTTGTAAAATAATATATAAAGCTAAAAGTCAATTAAAATTTATACCAAAATCAGTTAAACATTTTAGTTTTTTATAACAAGGCGCACAATTTTCACTCTCTTGTAATTGACACCAAAAATCCATTGTTTTTAATGGCTAAGGAGGATTTAACCTTTGCTAGGGTTTAATCCTCTCTTATTCCTCTCTAATAATTGAATGTTTTTTTTACCACTTTTTACACTATCATTCAAATTGCTAAATGTTATTTTATGGTTAGTTTGAATTAATTTTTTTCCACGTTTTATTTTATTAGTTTTTCTATTTTATTAAATTCCACATAATATTTTAATATAATAATTACAATAAATGTAGTAATAAATAGATATCAATTTCATTGATAAACTTACCTTTTAATTTTAAAATTTTTAAAATTAAAGCTTATCAGTTTGTTTTATTTATTTAAATTATTTGTTTAAATTTAAAAGATAAAAAACATTTATATTATAATAATTCATTATTTTTCTTATTTTCTTATAAATTCAAAGTTTCAAATATTTTGACATTTATATTAAATTTTTTTTTTAAAATTAACTCATGTAATATATAATTCTCACAACTAATTTGTTTAATATCATTTTGTTATTCAAAGCTCTTAAAAAATATATAGAAGTTTAGAATCTCTTTATGCCGGTTTTAAAGCCCACTTTATGCTATTTTGCAATTCTTTCTAGCTCTTTGCTACTTACATGTGCTTTGTTTAATATATTGCTTTGTTGTTAAAAAAACAGAAAAATGTTACATTTAATCTTTATATCAATACAATATCAATAAAAAACTACTTAAATATCAACAATATTAACATGGATATAGTAATTTAGAATCTCATTAACAAATCATTAATTTACATCTACATATAATAAATTAATAAATATCAATATTAATCTAATATATAATAAACTAATAATAATAAATATTAAATTTGATGAATCAATAATAATTATTAACATGCAATTACAACCATACAATAAAAGGGCATCAAGCTAATGGTTTCATTTTCCTCTCCATCACATCAATAATAATATATGATATACATTTGTTTTGCAAGGCTTTCAATTTAAGCAAGACCATACGTGACCTTTCAATTTCGATTTTGCAAGAGATAATAAACACTTGTTATTGTGTTCTTATACCATCCACATTCGCAAGGCTTTCAATTGGTCAATTAAATCACAAAATCAATAAAGACAAATATTTCAAAGTATGAAACAATTTTGATCACATAATTCCAATTATTGCAAGTTATGAGTTATGACAAACAATTAAAAAAATACTCAAATATTCATGGATGAGCAAATAAACCCTCAATGTGAATTTCGACAAATATTGTTTATTCCATGTTAACACGTCGAAATATAAATTTTTCAAAAATTACGCATTTAATTTCACAAAACCAATTTACAAACATTTTTGTCAAATATCAAATAACAAATAATGGCTGATGTCTATCACAAGAAAATTACAAGCAAGCCATATAGTTTTTAGTCAAGATTATTTGAACAATTATATGAATCAACTTAGTTGACTATTGTTAATAAATCGACATAAAAAAAAATTCCGTTTTATTCTAACATCACGTTTGATGCATTAAAACTAGAAATTTTCATTTTTTTTTTACTTTTGTATTTATTACCAATTATCATGAAATAAAATTGGTAATAAACTCTTAAATTTATAAATTTCTTACGTTTTTATCTCAAGTATGTTGTTGTTTTGTTATTTTTCATATTATACGTATTCTTATCGAAAAAAATATTTATACATGAAAAACTAATTAATTAAAAATCATATTTATATTTTTATATGTTATTTCTTTATATACAAGTTTTTTTTATATCTATCTACACGGTTTAAATATATAAAATGCTTTAGAAGTATATATGTTTTTTAAAAATATAAATATATATTTTTACGTATTTAAAAAGATAGATACACTTTTAAAAGTATGAATGCGTACTTTTATGTTTTTTACTAGTCATTATTTTTAAAAATACGTATTTATGCTTCTAAAAATGTATTTATACTTCTAACAATATATCTAGGGAAATCTCCGATAAAAACTTAATATTTTGGGTCAGTTTACGGTTTAATTCAAATATTTATGTTTTGAACATCAAAGTCCCGATTATCTAAGTATATACGATAATTTATCATTTTCTGTTGAAAAAAAAAGAGCTATTTCGTTAATTTATGAAAAATATAAAATAATCGAGCCTTTTTTGTTCAAAAAATAAAAATCATGATTAAACCGTAAACGGAATGAAAATATTGAGACTTTATCGGATATTTTTTATATATCTATACTTCTAAAGACATAAAAATACATACTTCTATATATATATATATATATATATATATATATATATATATATATATATATATTTTGTTTATGGGTAGTAATAATTTGGCAAAATAAACTTTTATATATATATATATATATATATATATATATATATATATATATCTATATATATATATTAGTTTATTTTACCAATTATTACTACCCCATAAACAACATATAATTTAAAAGTTAATATCAACTCTATTAGCTTATATACTAATACCTACAACAATGACCATAACAAAGGCACACATTAATACTCTCTCTCTCTCTCTCTCTCTCTCTCTCTCTCTCTCTCTCTCTCTCGCTCTCTCTCTCTCTCTCTCTCTCTCTCTCTCTCTCATAGATGTCTAGTTAACTTAAACCAATACCAACTAATAATGCCCAACAATTTAACACAAATTACATCTAATTTTTATTTTATAACAAAACAAATGTGTATATTTTTATAATAAACAACAACAGACAAGTAGTTATCAAAATACATAATACCCAAAATATATCCAAGGATCGAGCCATGTAATTACAATTGCTTTCTAGTAAAAAACAAAAGTATACAAGAACTAGTATGTCTTCTATCATTTAGATGCACTCTTACCTCTAGTATTACCTAGTTTTAAAAATTCATATAATAAATAAACCCTAAGTTTCACAAGCTTAATGAGTAATAAAATTATCATGATACATAAATACAACTACTAACAACAATATTCATAATATGTAAAATTAAACATGTTATATCGCCTTTCATATTTAATCAAGTACTTAGCTTTGCTAATTATATTCAAATATAATTGTCCAACTATATTTAATCTCAACTCTCAGCTTATGGACAACTTTATCAGTCATCTTGAACTATGATTGTCTAAATAACCCTAATAATTATATTCGACTATAGCTATTGATTTCATATGTACACCACTCGTTGCTATACATAATTCTGCCAATTATATTTTGCTACAACTAATCATTTTCATTCGATCATTACTTAATTTCAATTAACATCTGATATAATTTGATCATTAACATATGATATGCTAACATGGAATTTATCCTTTATCATGGATCTATAAGATTACTCACCTTGCAATAGCTTAGATATTTGAAACCTTGGTGCATGTAATCCTATCTTTGACCTTGCTTTTGAAGCAGTCAAAATAACATATAAATCTTGAGTATTAGAACTCAAGATACCACTCATTTATCTGTAGACTTGACTTAATACTTCATTAAGTCATAACACTTAATTACATATAAACCATCTGCATTCCATAAACTAGATGTCCATATGTCTTAATTCATTAAGACATAAGCTACATATCATTGAATCATCATTTCATCAATTTGCATATCATAGGTAAATATTTAAATCGTTTATACATGACTTAATCTATTCATCCAAACTAATTATACTTCATATATAGTTCATTTTTAGATCTTAATTACTCAATTTATGAACTCAATTTCATTCATTTCATAATTCACGCAACTTAGGGTTTATGATTAAAATCTTCAATTCTACATACCTTGAACTCCATGCTTCACTTATGGTGTTTAAGACTTTAAAACATACTAGCAACACTCTAATTCATCATGATTTCTAACATACATGTTTGTATAGGGATTAGGGTTCTTGAATCATCTTTTAATCCAGCTACCAAAATATGAACTTAGCAATAGATTATGGAGCTTAAAATTAGTATAGGAGTGTTATGATCAACCACTATCTTCATCCTTTAATTTCTCTTGCTCCTCTCTTTAAATTTTTTTAATGTCGGTTATAACGTGCCCACTCCCTCTCTTTAAATCTCACATATCCTAAAATGGCATCAAGTAATGTACATTTGACCAAAATATACATTTGACCAAAAATCATAATTTTTAGGTGATAACAAACCCCTAAGAGATCTTTTAGTTTGGACACACACATTTTTATCCCTATTGATTCCTTTATAAATAACATGTGGTGCCTTAAAAACTTATTTTAAAAAACGTTCTTTTATAAGAACACCTTAACTCTTCATTAAATTTGGAAACAAAAATGTTTTCTTAGATTTTATAAAAATAGTCATTTTCTATATAAAAACGACTATTTTGAAAATTAGTTTTTAACTAGTAGAAAAGTTTTATCAAAAAAATATATATATATATATATATATATATATATATATATATCCCACTTAAATATTTCATAAAGATTTATTTTTCGTTATGAAATATGTTTTTGATAAGGTGTACATGCAACTCTTTCTAAACTTTTCACAATGTTTTTGACAATGATACCCTTGTGACATCACTAAAATCATTTTGTTTAGCCTAACAAAAAATGTTTCTAAAATGTTATCTTCTTTAACACTTCTTTGTATCTAAAAAAAACACAAGGAGATTGTTATAAATAGATATAATTTAGGTTTTGGTTTAATCACCTTTAAAACTAAGTGACATTAGGGGAAAATGTATCAACAATTTTTTTCATTCTTACTAAAAGAAAGAATCAAAAGCTTTAACATAAAAGTTTTTTTCTTGGGACAACGAAGTTTGAAATAATCGGAATTGTTGTTAGGAAAGAAGGCAAAGGGGTGTATAATTCATGAGTGGGTTGATGGAACGGTTAAGTAGAAGATAAGAGTTGTTTTTCGGGGGAATGAGTTATCACACCCAAAAACTTTGGTTCTAATGTTGGCCCATGTTGCTTTTCAGAAAAAACTAAATCATTTCCTTTTATTTATTAAATAAAACCGATCATATTAGTAATTATCGCTTAAAACTATATAAGGGCCAACATTTTTGTCCTAAATTAAAGTAGTGTCACTGTCATTTTGTTTTTGTGGTTTTTTTAAGATCTAGTGTTGAGAATCATTTCCGTATTCTTAAACATTGTTTTAGATTAAAAGACCATATAAATATTATATATTATGTATAACCGTTAAGATTATATGGAAATAATTGTAGTAACACAAAAGAATAAAAAAATGGAAAATGTTAGAGGTCTATTACAACATAGTGTTCTCATAACAAATTTGTCTACAACTGAATATTTCCTAGGATACAATATAGAAACTAAAAGGAGAATTTTGGTAGTTTTGTGATTAATTATAGTCGACATGTGGTATATTTGTATTCGTGAGACGCACGAGAATACAAGTTCAGTGAGCCGAAGCCATTTCGATTTGCTTTTACACCACCTTTACATGCAAACGAAAGAGTCTTAGTGTTATAATTCTTACAAGACTAAGAAGCCTTACTACTTATATAAACACTCCCTTTTCATTCCCATGTATGTGGGATGACGTAAAACACATTAAACTTCTTATCAAATATTTCAACTATCCCACTTTAATGATTAATTTCTCATTCATCCTAAAACTGTTTTGGACGTGTAGAATACATAAACGAAGGTATCACGAAGAACACAATATATAATCATTTATCCATTTTACTAATGTAAAGGGTTTAGAATTTATATCCAAAATTATGAAAATTCCATTTTTAAAATAGGTAAACCCATTTTCCCAACAAACATTTATGTAAAAATGGTAAACAGTACCGGTACGGCCTATGAATTTCTCATATAACATAATATGACACACCTGACATTTTTTTTCTAACTTTTACATGAGATCCAACATTATAACTGCTACCATCTTTTCTTTTATTTTTTAACATAATTTAAGTTAAAATATAATAAGAAACATTTGAATTATTGATAGTTTCAACCCCTTAGGCTTGCCAAAATTGATCTCCTGGCTCCTGCAATTAAGAAAGGACTTCCTGTGACTCTGGTAATATCAAGAACGACATTGCAAGAAATCTTACTGAAAGCTGTGGGAAATCACATTGTGTTTAACAATTCTAAAGTTGTTGAAATCTCCCAAGATCCTCATAAGGTCAAACTCCCTTTTCAATCATGTATTATAATGTCATATAAAGTTCACATTTTTTTTTGTTCTTTTAGCCATGCCTACAATTATATGTCTCCTATACATCTTGAAAGATATATGTGTTTTATAATAACACTGTATAATAATGAACTTTTGTAGGTCGTGGCAACCCTTGATGACGGGCGACAGTTTGAAGGTGATATCTTGGTCGGAGCTGATGGAATTTGGTCAGAGGTAACCTTTATTTATTTATTTATTTAAAATATTTTCTATATCAGGTTCAATCATATATTTACTCCTTTTTATGCTTCATGTTTTATATAGGTGCGTAAGAAATTGTTTGGAACACAAGAAGCAAGTTATTCAGGCTATACTTGCTATAGTGGATTAGTAGACTACGTCCCCTCATACACGAATTCTATCGGGTACATATCTATGCTTAACATGGAGATTGGCAATTAACGAAAGTAATTAACACAAAATTGTTTAGGATTTCATAATGAAGAATTTTATTAAACTCCAAGATGTTCTCAAGGCTTACATTCATTCTCATCTATAAGTGCATTAAAATTTATTTTTACTTGGTTGGATTCAAATTTGATAATATTGTCAAATTTCTAAAACATATAATGGATCGAAAAATAATGAAATCAAGATGATAGTTAATCATATGATTTTTCGATAATCATGGAAACTATGAAAGTTAATTAACAACTTATCCTATGTTTGGCACACCTAAGCTAGTTTAATTTTTTGAGGTTTTTTATGTTGTTGTATTTGGAAAATAAAAAATTAGATTATAAACTATTCAGAATAGCATTTCACTGAGCTTATTAAGCCTTTTTAAAGTTCTCCCAAAACATACGCCTTTATCAACTATTAAAAAAAACTCAATCATATATATGTTATCTTTATGTCATTTTATATATTCTAGCTGGCTTATTGGGTAGTTTTACCTAATGTTATTTTTTTTATCGGTTAGCAGACTTTTTAGCTAGTCTACCAAACAAAGCCTAAAACAAAATAATTTAGAATAGGAACCGAGAATAAATTGAAAAAATTCAAAGGTTGAAGTTGTAGTTGCACTGTTATGATCTCTGACCCATTATCGAAATGTTTATGTACAAATGAGGTGATTTATAATCCCCAACATATCAAAAGTTATGTTCGTTTAGAATTAAGCATGTTTTCATCCTTTTGTCCTTCTTCCACTTATCCATAAAAGAGTTTTCCAAGTCCTTGATATGATCCACATCTTATATATTTACCAACTATGATAAAATTAAAGTCATTCATTTTCTTTTTCCAGCTATCGTGTGTTCCTAGGGAGGAATCAATACTTTGTTGCTTCTGATGTTGGTAATGGAAAAATGCAATGGTACGCCTTCCATAAGGAGCCCCAAATAGGCAGTGGTAATTTGGAAGGTAATGAATTAATAAATACTTTATAAATATGATAAAAAGACATACAAAGCTACGATTATATGTTCCTTTAATTGTATTTGTATGCATAAAAAATAATATTCTTTTCTTTAGACCATGCAGGTAAAAAGGTAAGGCTGACTAAGCTATTTGGGAGCTGGTGTAGCGATGTGACCACATTGATAGCCAAAACAAGAGAAGAAATGATTTTACGAAGGGATATATATGATCGAGACATGATATACTCATGGGGAAAAGGACGTGTTACACTTTTAGGAGACGCTGCTCACCCTTTGCAACCTAATCTTGGGCTAGGTGGTTGCTTGGCAATAGAGGTAAAAAGATTGAAAGTATTACAATGGTAAACAAATTAACTCATGGATATGTTTCACGTAAGCTTTTAGTAAGTAATTTGTAGTTACCAGATTAAGAGACTATACATTTCAATGCATTTGTGATTTGTAGGATTGTCACCGATTGATTCATGAACTGGAAAGTATCAAAAAAAGTGAATACAATGCTATCAAGTTGATTGATATTACGTCTGTACTTAAGAGGTACTTGAAAACATTTATTGCTAGCAACGATCTCTATTTTTTCTATGTATCAAATAATTAAATTTTGCACATGTGAATAATAATTTTTAACAGATATGAACAAAAAAGAATGTTAAGGACGATGATTACACATGGAGTGACTCGTATGGCATCAAAATCACTTAGTGGTTACCAATCTTTCACATCCTTGTCGGCATTTCGATTGCCTGTATGTTGGTTCTTGGTTCTTCTTACTATGCATGCATTCTTGTTATATTTTCCTTTACTAAATTTTGATTAGTTAATTAATTTATTCTCATTTCGTAGGTACAAGTTTCTGAATTTTTACAAATGGTTTCATCATATTTCTTGACTTGGTTGGTAGCCGGTGAAGGTTAGTAAATCATCTCTCTTTCTCTACTTTTGGCCACAGATATCGATTTTATTTTATTTTAATGTTAAGAACATTATGAATGATAGCATTGTTTTATTTTGTTCTAATTTTCTTATTAAGGTATTGAATGGGTTGTACATTGTTATTTATACAATCTTTTTTTAAACAGCCGATATGTTGAAGAAACAAGATCAACAGATCGAAGGTAAAAAACACAAGGTTTTGCTCCAATATAACAGGAAGAGATAAGAATAGCAACACAAAAAGGCAATAAGTGAACACCCATATAAGACGCAAGACCTATTCTAATACTTGTGTGTGATTTGATAACCACCCATCAATTTCGAATATTTTTAAATTGCGACCACCAATATCCATAATGAAAAGATCCTTATGATATCATTTTTATATTAGGGAATGAAAAGTAGCAATGTCAAGCAGCTCCATCACTAAATGTAAATCAATGAAAGATTACACCAAGCAACTTCCTTGGATTTCTTTTGATTGTAGTGTCAATGCGAGAATCTTATTATCACCATTCCTACACACTTTTGTGCTAAGAAACCTTCTATAGACCTTGTTAAGGAACCTAAAATAAAAATATCAAGGACCAATAATTTTGAGGAAAAAAATCACACCAACAAGAGAAATACTACAACACACCTTGTTTTATGAAACTCCAAATGTACACACACTCCAAGAAAGTTCGTGTGACATTCCCATTTTCACGGCCAGAAAAGACCGATTTTGTTTATGCTTTATAAAAATCAGAGTACTTCTTTTAATAAAAATGTTGCGGAATTTGTTCCAAAAAAAAAACATGATAAATACGTTATCAAAGCATTTCCGAATAAATATATTTTTATTCATTTTAAAACATTTGGGATGTCATCGTCAATACAGAAACATAAGCATAAACAGAACTTACATTTATTTACATTAGTGATCTACATCTCTTTTAAATCTCTCACTGTAAAGTAGCTTCGTATCGACACCTGTGATACAAATAAGCTTGAGTGGGTCAGGTTGGGAAACCTGGTGAGTACATAGGGATTTCAATCCCACAATGTTATATCATATAATTTAGAACTTACAAAATATACGATTTCACCATATATATATATATATATATATATATATATATATATATATATATATATATATATGTATATATACATAAGCAACTCTTACCCCACCTCGTTAATCCTCACAACGAGACTATCCATACTCTCGGACCTTAAATTTTACCTCTTACTTAGTCCATACTCTTGGATCTAATCCATGCTCTCGGATCAATAAGTGTGCTCATTCCATACTCTCGGGTTAGGGACATGTGTCTATGTGTAAATCCATACTCCCGGATTAATGACGAACAACTGTGTCCTTTCCATACTCCCGAACTAAGGACAACTGACTATGTCTTAATCCATACTCCTAGATTAATGACATTTGACCGTGTCCAATCCATACTCTCGGACTAGGGACAATGACTATGTCTAATCCATACTCCCGGATCAATGACATATACTAAAGTTCTATTCTTTGAGTATAACTCACTCGTACTCGTAAGAAGATTCTACCAAATATTCATCATAATTAATTTAGGTTTACTCTTTGTCCTAAATCATCATATATAATCAGGTATGTTCTTTAGCACGTATTTCAGGCAACATCAAATAATTCGCACATAAACATATATTTAATACATCAATCAATACCTGTATTAAAATCATGTTCATGAAAGGGACTATGCACTCACTTGATTAGGTGGTGATTCCGAACTCAGACAGCGCTTCGTTATCTCAAAACAATTTTCCTCGACAAAACCTAGTATCAATACCACTAGGGTTTAGTTTTAACGTTAACCGCGAGTAATTAATAGTCTAGCTATTATTACTATTATATAAGCATTAAATAACACTCAATATAACTTATAATAATAGCCCAAATAATTATTTTAAGGTCCTAATAATGTTACTATAATTAAATAAAAGCTATATTAAATATAGTATAGGCGTAGCTCACTTACAGCGGGTTTTTATTAAAAAATCGGGCTTCGCTGGAGCAGCGTTTCCGAGCCGAAAACTTTTCTTCTCGGAGCCGTCAGGGCGCTCCGGGGCTTTCTTCTCGTGCTAGGGAGGTTCCCTAGACTTGGGAGGGGTTTAGGGAGGTTAGAGAGAAGTTAGAGAGAGAAAGAAAGGCTTATGGTGTGAAGAAATTATGAAGAATTCATCTCTTATTTATAGGAATTTTATAGTAAAGTATTCTCCAAGCTTCGTCTGTATCTTTCGCGTACGAGCTCCGTTTTCTACGTTCTTTATATCCACGCATTGGTATTTACGAGTACTACAACTTTCATTTAGACTCTGTCGGCTAATTCTCCTTCTATCTCAGATTTACAAAAACTGTATCGTATTTATCGCACACAAAGAGTAGCGACTAAGCTTCGTCCATATCTTTCGCATACGAGCTCCGTTTTCGACGTTATTTATATCCACGCGTTGGTATTTACGAGTACTACAACTTTCATTTAAACCTCTTTGGCTAATTCTCATTCTATCTATTTACAAAACTGTATCAAATTCGCCGCTCTCGAAAAGTAGAGACTAAGCTTCGTCCATAACTTTCGCATACGAGCTCCGTTTTTGACGTTATTTATATCCACGCGTAGGTAAAAATAAAATCTAGAACTTTACTTTTTACTCCGTCGGCTAATTCTCGACCGATCTTAAATTTAACAATAGGAGGTGATTACACTGTTAAATGTCCGCGTAAAAATTTATAACTTTTACATACTGACTCCGTTTTCGTCTGTCTTTTTGTCGTTGGGTTCTTATTAATGAGATCTTCAATTCTCATTTAGGTCGCGTTGGCCAAAAACCGCTCGATCTAAAATTCAAATTTCGGGCTGTACACTGCTAAGCCGAAACTTCAAAAAATCATAACTTCCTCATACGAAGTCAGATTTGGGCGTTCTTTTTATGGACGCTCTTGGTTTAACGTTTTCTACGAATTTAGTTTAGATCGCTAAGGCTAAAAGTCGTTCTATCGTAACTTCACTATTTACGCTTCCCGATGCCGTGTCGGTTCCGTCGCGAAACTTCAACGGGTCATAACTTCTTCGTTATAACTCGGATTTCGGCGTTCTTTATATCTACGGAACCCTTGAGACATATTCTACAACTTGGTTAAGATTATTTATTCTAAATAATATTTTGTCGAAAAGTCGTTTTCGACCCCTATTATCTATAAATTGACTAGCCCGGATTTACGGGCGTTACAGTTCCTCACACTTAGAATTTGCATATATGTCCCCATAGAGCACCACCGCATGAGCCCAACAAGCAATTCTTCTTAACCCAACTTACTTTATCAGGCCATTGTATATTAATAATGTCGCATAATACTAGAGCAATTAAAAAAGTTATAACTTAAAACATAAATAAATTTGAACAAAAAAAGGTTGAGATAGCTTAACATTTTTATGTATATTTAAATATGCCCCCTTCAGCTCAACTTTGGAACATTTTTCAGTTTTCCACATAAGTATGAATTATGGAAGCTAGTTCGAGACTTAGTAATCACATCTGCAACATGCTCCATTAAAGCAGCCTTTTTAGCCTTAACTACACCTTCCAAAACCTTTTCTTTGACCAAATACACATCTATTTCAATGCACTTGGTTTTTTCATGGAAAACAGGATCCAAACTCGGTCAAATAGTTGAATTATTATTACATAAAATTTCAACTAGAAATTGCATTATATATTCACATATCTTATACTCTTTACAACCTAAAAGATTTTACATGTTACAAAAGCCAAGGATCTATATTCTGGCGCAGAAGAAGAATGAGACACATTGGCTTGTTTCTTGTTCTTTCAAGATATCTAATAATTACCAAGAAACAAATAAAAAGCAATGATTGGTCTTTATGTACTCGAACATCTTTCCCAGTCAGCATCGACATAAGCCATAATTAGCAAGTTCTCATATTTATTTATTGTAACTCCTATACCACTATTTTAAGTATCTATGAACTCTAATGCCTTATCTTAAATATGAGTTTCTAGGAAGTGTATGAATTGACTTAAGGTCTAAATTGTAAATGAGATATCATCCCTTATATTGATAAGATATATTAACTAACCAATAAGTTGTCAATATCTAGTAAAATTTGTTACAATTCATCTTTATCATCAATTTCTTTATTACTGATTATAGTACACAAATCAAGGGGTGTATTTATAGTTTTATTATTGTTGCAATAGACAAATAAAGGGATGTATTTTCAGGTTAACAATTTTACTTTCCAAAACAACTTTAATAATCCTAAGTCTTTAATTTTGAGTTTTTCTAGAAATGATTTTACTGTCAACTTTCTATTAAAATACATCATCGAAATAAACTAAAAGGGAAACAAAACAATTGGTTTTTGTTAGATAATCACTTTTACTTCGACAAAAGTGATACTCAATAAGAAAAGGAAATTAATGTTTTGTTCCATTTTCTTGGAGCTTGCTTAAGTCCATATATGGCTTTAACAAATCTACAATCTATAGTATTATTTTTAGAAAAATATCCATGAGGCAAGTTCATTTAACCATCTGTAAAACCCGTTCTTGAGTATCAATCGAAATCACAATAATTGGTACGGAATCCCAATCAAGTGATTAATGTAAAACAGTTATTATGAATTAAGAACACAATTATCAAATCTTCAATGCACACTATATTCAAGAATAGTCTAGTACATAAGATTCTTAATGGCTCTCGGTTCTCTCTATTTCTCTAAAACACGATCTCATCTCCTTAGAATGACTAGCAGCTTACACGGTTGAAATAATAAGGTATATACACCTATACCTAGTTACAAAGGCCCAACCCAAAATCCAACCGAAATCCTTATAAAGCCCACCGAAATCACAAGGTGATTTCGGTCCAAACACCACCGAAAACATGTTGTTTTCGATCCTAGACCGAGAACTCTAAAAGTCATCAAAAGTAAAGTCTAAACCATAAATTATGTCCTAACAATCTCCCCCTTGGTTTATAGCTTTCTTTTCTTTTCAATATTCTCTTTGATCTTGACTTTCAGCTTTTGTCTTGATCTCTTCACAACTTCAAGATGAACATATGAATTTCTGCATGAGTGACTTCATCTGGAATAGTTGGACTTCCTTTAAAAATTGACTTTGAACACACATTGGGAATAGAGGCTTCTTGTATAGGTTCTAGAAAATCAGCACTTTCAGCTTTGAAATACTTCAGATAGAATTACAGAGAGACTGATTCTTTTGGAACACTTCAGCAGGTTCATAAATAGCAGCAAACTGATTGAGGAGGCTTCAATGCAATTTGTCACATAACTTCAAAAAACAGCTTCACCTTGCTTCTGGGGTTGAAAGATTGTGTGTTGAAAAATAATCTTCACTTCTTATTCCTTTGAATGAATATTCTTCATCGATCATAGATGCGTCTT